GTGGTACTACTAGAGATTCAGGATTTTTAAATCAACAAGTTCTGTTTTAACCTTTTCTTATTCTTTACTTTAAAAATGTTTTATAGTCAACACATTCATATGCTGAAAAATTTTATTCAAACACATATTTTTAGGAAGGATGTTTATAAACCATAAACAAAATCTAGGAAGAACATATTGTGTTTCTTGCAGTAAATGTTTAATGCAAACTGTTGGCTGGTATGGCTGAGGAATAAAAATTTCAGGCTAATCAAATATTCTGCAATATTATACCATAAGTATTATAATTTTTACGTGTTAGAAGCTCAATATTACACTTATACTAGGCACGATTTGCTTATAAATATACTAGAGGCCCAGTGCACGACATTTGTGCCCGGCCTGCACCCTTTAGCAGTCCAGGAGCCCTTGGGGGATGTCCGACATCCTTGGGGGCAGTCAGACATCCTTAGTGCTGCTGTGGAGGTGGGAGAGGCTCCTGCCACCACTGCTGCACTCGCCGGCTGTCAGCCTGGCTTGTGGCTCAGCGGTGTTCCCCCTGTGGGAGCGCACTGACCACCAGGGGGCAGCTTCTGCATTGAGCATCTTCCCCCTGGTGGTCAGTGTGTGTCATAGCGACCAGTCATTGTGCCATTTAGTCGATTTGCATATTACCCCTTTATTATATAGGCTAGAAAGGCACTTCAGTATCTTGCTGAAGCTAGTGTCATGAATTTCCTTCAATAGAGTTCTAGTTAATAATTCAGGCAATGAATTTATTGTATCAATGCTCATTATCACTCATAGGAACACTTTGGGGCGGAGGGCAGGTGCCACTTGAGTTGGGGGGAGAAGGGAAGGTAGCAGTTCCTGTGACCAAAACAACACAACCAACTCAACCCCCCACCATGCCCCAAACCAATTTTCTCTGAAAGTGCAAATACATTGTGAGGTGTGTATGTGCTGTACTGGTATAAATTATGTCTATGCCAGCAAAGGGTTAATAAAGAAATGACACAGGATAGAAAATGGTGGCATCAAAGGGGAAAAACGAATCTGTTAGAGAAGTGGAGGGACCCGTGTTAAACACTGTCTATTTCACAGTTTTGCTGAGGATCCCAATTATGACAAACTGCTGTCACAGATGTTGAAAACAACATTCTATAATCTTACCTTACATTGGCTTCTGTGTTCGTTGTTTCCAGTGAACCCACATGAATTCCAAATGGCCAGATCTAATGCATTAACATGATTTGTGTAACCCAAGCCATTCTCCTTCATGAAGATTTTTTTTAAGCTTAATCAAAGTCATAAATAAAGACAAACACAAAACCCCTTTGGAGGGTAGACACATAAAATGACTACTTGTAGACGTGTTAATAATCTTACAGTTTTGTCACTTAAATTTTCTTTAGTCTTTTTATCTGTGAAAGCAGAGGGTGTGGAATGATTCTCGGCTGGCTGGAATAAGTCAAAAAAGCCTGTTTTGAATGCTTATAAAAAAAAGATCAGTTATACTTAAAAACATGTTTTTGTTTGTCTTCTGAAGTAACTATTTTTAAATAGAAAACATGACTGTGGATGCTTTATTAACAATAAAAAAAACCTTAGTTTAAAATTGAAATTATATTGCTCTGTAATTCCAGAAAAAAAAGTTTGATTAAAGAAATATACTGAGCCAAATACCTATTTTGCTTTAATTGGCAGTGTTAACTCATGCACACATTCAAGTAAGCATCACAGCACATAGAATACGGAGATATGGGAGGGATTCAGACCACAGATTATCTATTAGGAATAGAGAGTTTGGTCAGCATTGATGCTAAGTATATACAATCATTGTTGGCCCCTTGGTCAAGGGGGGGGGGGAGTAAATCTAAAACAGACACTAAAGAATCAACCTTTGCTTAAGTTGCTAGGGTGATGAATTCCCCTTGGAAGTAATTGGTGAGGCAACTGGAAAACAGCACAGCTCTAGGGCCCTGCTCCTAACAAATAAACCTGCGACATTTACTATGAAACCAAGGAGTATATGGTACTGTGCTATGCTCTGTTTATCTCAACTTTTATCTTCCAATGTGCTAACAAAGTGTGTTTAAAAGTTTGTGGTGTCTAAAATAAATTCTGTTATTTACAGTAAAATGGATGAATTGACCATATGTATAATAATTAAAAGACCTTATTTACAAAATCATTAAGTTACAAAAACAAAGGCACTACAGGAGTTTTAAATTGGACTACTTTTTTTTTTAAAGTATATTTTTATTGATTTCAGAGAAGAAGGGAGAGGGAGAAAGAGTTAGAAACATCAATGATGAGAGAGAATCATTGGTTGGCTGCCTCCTGCATGCCCCACACTGGGGATCGAGCCCACAACATGGGCATGTGCCCTGACCTGGGCAGGTACCCTGCCCAGGAATCAAACCATGACCTCCTGGTTCATAACTCCATGCTCAACCACTGAGCCACACCGGCTAGGCTGGACTACTTCTTAAGGCTTCATGTGAACACTTCCTCCACTCCAGGCTCTCTATTTACAAAGAACTTTACTTTAAATTCTCTTGGATGCAAAAAAGAGAAGAACTAGAAGGTATAGCAAATGATGGTAAATATTTTCTAGTTCACTCCTGTTTTAAGGTTTCAGTCAAGAAACACTAATATTTCAAACAAACTCCAAAGTTGACAGAAATGTTGGTAAACCTGCTCATTCTGGTCTGCCTCAACAAACCTGTATTTGTATTTTTAATAACAAATCCTTTGGAGTGTTTGGGCTGTATTTCTTCTTCCTTGCGATTAGAGTCAGGTACACAGGAAGATGATGCTATCTCTGATAAAAACATATTCTTTTCTTTTTTTAATTAAAAATGTTAATGTTGACGTTATTGCAGATTATTTATTTTGTTTACAGGGTAAATACTATTCTTTGGGGAAGCTAATGGGGTTCTAAAATGTAAGCAAATGACTAAATTATGAATTAGGTTGTAATAGGCATTATCTTTTTTAGGGGGAGGGGAAATTCCCTCTCAGATGATCATATCATTTAATAGCTACTTAGAGGGTTTATTTTAAAATTAATGGTCAATAATAAGTAGAAAAATTATTGTCCTCTGAAATTTTGGCAAGCATATTGATTACAGTCTTTATTTAGAAGCATTTTCAAGTTAAGCTTGGCAGCAAAGATTTGTGAGTTTTACTGCAAGCCATCATATTTGTTGTTACAGCAGTGCATAGGCAAAAAACAACAACACCCCACATTGAGTGAGGAGCATATGCAGAGTCTTACAATTTGTCTATTCTCTCAAAGTGAAATGAAACCCTTAGACATTGCTCTAAATAATTCAAGTTTCAATAGCATCCTTCCTTGAAACTGAGTTAAAATTGTTTGTGGGTTCTTGAATTAACCAGATTGTTGCTTCAATACTTCATTCACAAAAATGTATTTTCAAACAAACAAACAAAATGACATGGGAAGTTTTTGTAAATTGCCCGAGCAGTCAATTGTGAATTTTGTGTGAATGAGCAATTTTCTGAAGAATGACTCTGTTTATTAAATCTTCCTATTTTACTCTTATAGAGAAACTTTTTAGGGATAATAGCTAATATATAAAATTGCAAGTATCATTCTTGGGTGGAGGTGAAGCATAAAACTATAGTAATGATCTTTTGTTATTTTTTCAGCAGTCATTTTTTGAATGCTTCTTTATTACTAAACTTTCCAATTAGTGTAACTTTAATAAGAAATATATAGATGATATGTATTATATATATTTAGAAATACACTTTAGTCATTAATTATTGTCCATCAACTGTGATATAATCCCATGAATATTTGTAAAAACAGGAAGATGTCAATAATATGGGAAATGCTTTTGGAATTCTGGTAGTGCTGATTCAGAATTCTTACAAAACTTAGCCATATGCTACAATGTCATTTTATATAAAAGTAATTTCAAAATTACTTTTATATAAAAGTAGTCCAAAGGAATTTCCCCCAGCCTTGGAAATTAAATATTGGGTAGCACTAAGTCATGAATGCAACAACATATTTATCTATTATTTATCTATTTTCAATTGCTCTAAAAGATACAGAAGCAACATCCTCAGTATTCACACATGTTACACACCAGGGTGAAGGCACCACATATAGCGACTGTATTTGACCATCTTTGGAATGGAAAAGAAGCTCAAACATCAAACCTGATGACTAAAGCATTTAGAAAAAGCAAAAGAACTCAGTTCATACTTTAGGAAGCTGAGTTGGTATTTCATTCTCCCCACCCCCCAGCATACACCTGCCTTTATAAGGAAGAACCAGCCCTGTGAGTGGGAACTGGAGTCAAGGTTAAAGTAATCTTGCCCAAGAGAGTGGAGTGCATCGGGGAGAAAAAGCAGCTAGGCTCAAATGAGGATTAATAACCAAAGGCAGCACCTCCCCTGCAAAACATGAGCCTCCTGGACCTATGTTTGAAATTCATCCTCCTAAGTCATCCTGTGACTACAGGGATAAGTGACAATGTCCCATCAGTTGAAGGGAGAAATACACCACAAACCCTTTTTAAAAATATTACTTTAAAAAAACAATGAAAAGTGTGAAGTGTTCTAACTGTCAGGAACCCTTTGCAGACAGTAAAGGAAAAGCTTTGTCTTTCCTATTATTGTTTGCCCTTCAGTTGACATACATGCCCAGTTGCATCAATAGGATTACAACAGAAACACGGTCAGCTCCAGGTTTCCTCTGTGGGGTTCCTTGCTCTTGTTTAAAGAAACAGGCTCAGGGAATGCACAGAAAACAAACTTCCCCAATTGAAGTTCCGAGGTGGTCTTTCCTTCTCTTCTCCCACCCTCAGAAACATGTCTAGTTTTACCCATAGCCCCGGACAGCAATGTCACGGTCATCTCGCACCACTGCACTTGTTGAATTGTGTGAATGAAGGCAGCACTTGGCCACAGTCACTTGGTGAACCGCCTTGCTCTTCAATGAGCCCCCAAGATTTCTTTCCAGTTCCAAGGAAATGTCTTACCTGCATGTGTCCCTGGTACATTCTGCTTGGACTTCTTCAGGGCTTCCCGAGGCCGCCGGATGCTTTCCCCGTGTTTCCTCGCACGCCAGCAGAGGGGAGGAAAAGGCGTGCACACCGGGTTCGCACAGGGTGCCCCTGAGCCGGGGTGAGGCTCCAGGTAGCCCGCCCGAGGCCCTTGGCAGGCTGCGGGCTGCCGGGAGCTGTTCTCCGCTCGGGGTGCTGAAAGCGGACACCGGAGAGCGCGCGGAGCAGACGAGGAGCCGGGCGGCCACGCTCTCCCGCGGACCCGGGTCCTGTTCTCCGGCGTCTCTAAAACTCTCTCCTTCTCCACCGAACTCTTTCTCGCTTCCTGCCCGGCTGCCTCATGTCTCTCTCACTCTTCGCCGCGAGCCTCCTCCTCCCCAGCCCTGACGTGAGCGCCCACACCAGCCGCCGCCGCAGCTGCCGAGCGGGGCGCGCGCCGCCCTCCCGGCCGCTTGCCTGCCCAGAGGCTGCGGGCCGGGCACGCGCGCGCATCCCCCCGAGCCGCCAGAGGGCGGCGCGCACCGGCCCCCGCCCGCCGCGTGCTCGGGGATGAGCACACCGGGCAAAGTGCCCGCGGGTGGTGGTCGCGCTAGGCAGTCGGGTGTGGCGCCGGCTGCAGGGGGGCGGCCAGCTGCAAGAACAGTGGGATGATGCCAGAGGGAAGGGGGTGGGGGGAGAAGGGGGCCCCCATATATGGTGACAGGAGAAGATTTGACTTTGGGTGGTGGGCACGCGGTGCAATATATTGATCTTGAAACATCGAAACCCACACCTGAAACCTATATATTCATGTTGACCAATGTCACCCCAATAAATTTAATTTTAAAAGTGGGAGGAAAATGCATTGTTCCTCTGGGGGATCATCAATTCTGACTGAGCCGCCATTCTACAAACATAATGGGATGAACGTGGGGGCTTCTGAAGAGTTTACTTCTGATTTGACTCTCACAAGCGATCTCCGTGTCACTTGGTGAATAGGTCTCTCCCCACTCACCCCACCCCCAAGTCATCGCTGAGCACTCCACTATTTAAATCGCAAACCTCAGTCCTTAAAGGCCTTCCATGATTCTTCTCCCTAGCGCTTATCTAACACCCTGTATTTTTTTATATATTTGTTTTATTTATTGCCAGCCTCTGTTTATATATACACTGTATTTCCATGAGATCAGAGATATATTGGGGGACGAGTGTATCTATTTTACACAGATGTCTCACAGCACAGTATAATTTCTCTTGGCACATGGTTGGCACTCTAAATATTTGTTGAACAAGTGGGTCTTTACTATATAATGTAAAGGTAGAGTGCATTTAAATACAGTGGGGCCTTGACTTACGAGTTTAATTCGTTCCGTGACGGAGCTTGTAACTCAAATTACTTGTATATCAAATCAACAGTGAACGAGTGAGACACGTGATGCTGGGCTGATGTTGTGGCATTCACTGTGACATTCGCTCCGCCAACTAGCGGTGTGGTATCTGAAGCTGGCTCATATCCCGAATTTTAGCTCGCAACTCAAAGCAAAAAAATCGGCCGAGAGATGGCTCGTATCTCAAAAAACTCGTTAGTTCTGGACACTCGTAAGTCAAGGCCCCACTGTATGTCTATTACATTTCAAGAGTTTTTACATTAGTTTGATGTAGTCTTTACATTATAAATGTATATTCATACACATACACACAGCATGGGCTGGTGTATGTGTGTATACTGTGATTACCTAGTTTTGTTGGTAAAAAGAACTCCAATCTCACAACTGACCCCCAAATGATATACAGCATGACATAATCTCCCAGATACTGCACATAGCATGATATACTTTTCATAAAGTTAAAAAAATATGAACTCCCTAGGACTATAAAAATATACTTATGTATAACTATGTGAAAAGGAAAGCAATAGGACAATGAACATGGGATTTGGAATGTTGGGAACACTAGGTAAGGGGAGGCAGGGGAAATGGATGGGGAGGCATTTTATATGAAGGTGAATTGCCAATGCTTTAGTTATTATGTTCACCCACATGTATTAACCTATAAAATTACTATGTAACTAAATAAAACAGAGCCAGGCGTGGACTAGTAAGGAGAACATGAAATGCACCAAAGAAATATTTAATCCAATTCAATGCATCTGAGGTCTCAAAACAACTGACCAACCAACCAAACAAAATGATTAAGACTTATAGGCAGGAGACATGGATTCTTATTGAATCCACCAATAGTTAAACTTGGACAAGTTCCCTTACCCTCTCTAGACTTCATTTATTTTCATGTCTAATCCCTGATAAACTCATTATTTTATCCTGAAAACTGAAATATGTTAAGAAGCTCTATAAACTGTAAAGACCATCCAGTTCTTGTCTTTGATAGGACAGAGCACTGGAATAGGAGTCAGCACTACCTACATCACTGCATTCTTGGGCAAGTGTACTAATTCTCTGTTTCCTCAACTTTTGAAGTAAGGCAAATATCTGTTCAGCTTACAGCACAGGGCTGCTGAGGAATGAATGTATGCAAAGGAAGCTCTAAATCAGTGGTTCTCAACCTTGGCTGCACATTAGAATCACCTGGGAATCTTTTTAAAATCCTGATTTCTGGGCCTCATCCTCCGGAAATTCTGTTTCTTTGTTATGGGGTGGGGCCACAACATTAGTAACAAAGAAACAGAATTTCCAGAGGATGAGGCCTAGAAATCAGGATTTTAAAAAGATTCCCAGGTGATTCTAATGTGCAGCCAAGGTTGAGAACCACTGCTCTAAATAAACCACCATATATCAACAATGAGGTATCACCTCACACCTGTTAAGAATGACTATCATCAACAAATCAACAAATGACAAATGCTGGCAAGGATGTGGAGAAAAGGGATCCCTAGTACACTGGTGGTGGGAATGCAGACTGGCGCGGTCACTGTAGAAAACAGCATGGAGTTTCCTCAAAAAATTAAATATGGAACTCCCATTTGACCCCGTGATTCCACTTCTAGGAATATATCCTAAGAAGCCAGAAACACCAGTCAGAAAGAATATATGCCGCCTTATGTTTATAGCAGCACAATTTACAATAGCTATGATCTGAAAACATCCCAAGTGCCCTTCAGCAGATGAGTGGATAAAAAAGCTGTGGTACATTTACACAATGGAATACTACACAGCTATAAAAAAGAAGGACCTCACCATTTGCAACAGCATGGATGGACCTGGTGAGTATTATGCTAAGTGAAACAAGCCAGTCAGAGAAAGATAAGTATCACATGATCTTACTCAAATGTGGATTCTAATGAACAAAATAAACTGATGAATAAAATAGAACCGTAGACATAGAAGCATGGAACAGACTGATAAATTTCAGAGGCAAGGTGGAGGTGGGGGAACTTATATGCATACTAGAGGCCCAATGCATGACATTTGTGCACTAGGGGTGGAAGGGGGAAACGTCCCTCAGCCCGGCCTGCACCTTCTCACAGTCCAGGACCCCTCTTGCACTCCAGGACCCTGAGGGGTCCTTAGTGCTGTCACAGAGGCAGGAGAGGTTCCCACCTGGCTTCTTGCTCAGCAATGCTCCCCCTGTGGGAAGTGCACTGACCACCAGGGGGCAGCTCCTGCATTGAGCATCTGCCCCCTAGTGGTCAGTGCATGTCATAGCAACTGGTCGTTCTGCCGTTTGGTTGATTTGGATATTAGGGTTTTATTATATCGGATATGCATGACACATGGTCACAGACAATAAAGTGATGAAGGTCTGGAAGGGGTGGATACAGGGTGGAGGGAGTCAACAGGAAAAACACACACAAACAAACAAAGGGGCTGAAACCGGTTTGGCTCAGTGGATAGAGCGTCGGCTTGCGGACTGAAAGGTCCCAGGTTCGATTCCGGTCAAGGGCATGTACCTGGGTTGCGGGCACATCCCCAGTAGGAGATGTGCAGGAGGCAGCTGATCAATGTTTCTCTCTCATCGATGTTTCTAACTCTCTATCTCTCTCCCTTCCTCTCTGTAAAAAATCAATAAAGTATATTTTAAAAAAAAAGAAAAAAAAAGAAAGCCATGTTTAAAAACCAAACAAACAAACAAAGGGGACATCTGTAATACTTTAAACAGTAAAGATAAATTTTTTAAAAAACCACAAAAACCCCCACCATATATGAGTATGTAAATAGACTTTTTTCCAGCCCAGAAAAGATGAGTGATAATGATTTCCTGAGAAAGCTGTGCAAACTTAAGGGGCAGGGGCATCTTTATTATAATTGCTAGCATCTAATCTAATAAAAGACAATAAAGGTAATTAACCGTACCTTCACTATGCTTCCCATTGGCTAATCAGGGCGATATGCAAATTAACTGCCAAGGAAGATGGCGGTTAATTTGCATACATAGGCACAATGATGGGAGGCGAAAGGGGAAGGACGGTGATTGGAAACCCAGGTGGCAGGCAAGAGCCCGGAGGCCCTGGCCCTGGATTGGAGAACCGGGCCACCTTTACCCACCCCCCAGCTGGTGATTGGAGTAGCCGCGATGATCCCACAGCAGGCAAGGGCTACCTGCAGCCAGCCCCCGTGTGCGCCTGCCCCTGGGTCACCGCTGTGATCCTAGAGCAGGAAAGGGCGGCCCCACCCTGGCCACAGCTCAAGGGAGAGTACAATACACAGTGGAGGCCAGGAGCCTGAGAGATCAACAGAGAGGGGCGCCTGCTCCAAGCCTCCATGGTGTGGCTGGGGGCAGGCCCCCAGCAGACACACACACACACACACACACACACACACACACACAGCGCCAACTCTGAGCCTCCAATGTGGCTGGGGGCAGACCCCAGCAGACACATACACACACACACACACACACACACACACACACACACACGCACACACACGGGACGCCTGTCCGAGCCTCTGCTGCCAGACTGTGGCCATCAGTAGGACATCCACTGAGGGCTCCCGGACTGTGAGAGGGGCAGGTTGGGCTGAGGGAACCCCACCCCCCAGTGCACAAATTTTGTGCACCGGGCCTCTAGTGTTGTTATAAAAACCTTGGGGGAAATTCTAGCATTTGATTTGAAAGTGCTAGAAATCTGTGAAGTAACAGCAGGGCCAAAGATTCCCAACCCATTACATGCTTATCATTATTAATGGCAGATTTAAGGAGCTCTCAACCATAAAAGTATTTGAACCAGCAAGGTGACTACCTAGTTGAAAATAGCACTCATATCCTTTTGTCAAACCTAATTAACTCATCTAGTTACTTCCTACATTCACAAAATCTCAGGACTACAAGTGCATCTGTGAAGGCATACCTCTCCTCATTCATTCATTCATTCATTCATTGATATTTATTAAAAACTTAGTATTTTGGAGTGCTGTGCCAAGTGCTGAAATATACTGATGAATAAGACAGACCTGGTCTCTATCTCCATGGAACCCAGAGTCCAGCTACCTGTCAGGA